AGCAATTTCTTACAGAGAACAGTAGTTATTCATACATATAGCAAATACTTAACCGATTCTTGCAGTTTGAACTATAAGCAACTTTTCATTCAGATGCCAGTTATTCTGCTGATTATTATTCTAATTATTATTATATTATTTATTGTGAATGTGAAAGAGCAAAGAACATATCTGTGTGAACCAAAAAGGGAAAATATTTCCCTGGTATTACAGAAATATTTAGAGGAATTGTATCTGTAGCTCAGGAAGTCAAACTTGCCTCTGCTTCTAACTACTAAAATCACTGAGCATGGAAATACTGGTCAATGTGTGGACAGAGTTTCTAAATGTGCAAAGAACTATGGATCACATTTTCTACGTACGCAAGATAGTCATTGCATTCAAATTTCAAGCAATCGGGTCTGAAGGTCACCTTATATCTGCAGTTTCAAAGGATGGAATTCTGTTATAATAGTATCTGATGTTACTGTACCAATGCAATGTGTTCACAGAGAGCTGGGTAGAGAGTTTGAACGCTGCGTGTCTCTGCGTCACACATTCCCAGGCTCAGTTGTTACAGGGGAGAAAAAATTGATGAGGTCATCCAACCATGCTTATACACCTCCTCGTGTCCAAGTACACAATGACGTTGATATGGGAGCCTGAGCAGCACCTTCATCTCTTCCAGATAAGGGGGATGGGATTTGAATAAATAATTTTAAAGCTACAGTAGATAACTAGAAAAATATCTAAAAATGAGTCAACGACAAAGGTATGGTGAAAGAGCACGTAAATGAGACTGAAGGAATTACTCTTAAAAGAGAGCACAGATATGATGGGCCAAATTGGCTCCTTCTGTGCTATAAATTTCTATGGTTCTATTAGAATAAGATAAAGCACAAACAAACTTGACATCACTGCACAACCACAGTGGTGACCTGATGGGCTACCAGGCCCCTTTCCATGCTGTAACATTCTATGATGTTCACAAATGGGTTTGATTTTCCTGTGAGGGGCGAACACAAATATTTAGCACTTGAATAGTAATGCAATATTTTAGGAATAGCCACTTTGATTTATTTATTGCCTCTGTAGGGAACTGCAGATTTACTACGTTGAGGCAAACTACTAGAAGTTATATTCAGATAATCAGTGCAGAGTTCAAGTAGAGTTTGAATTCGCAATTCCTTTACAGAAATAAAATATTTTTATAATGATCGATTATTTGATGAGTTCCCAAAACAGTCCAAACATGTACACCTGAAAGTACCCTTCTGTCAGTGGAAAGTCGACAGTGTTACAAGCCTTAACTATAAGAATATAGTAAAGGTACATGAGCTAAAATAGACTTACATATAGTAATTAGTAAAAAAAACTATCAATCAATTAACATGATACAGAAATAGAAGAATAGTAAAATGTACAAAACATAATAATCCCGGAACTGAAATTTAGTAATATCTCCAGTTAATTATAAGACATTTATTGTTACTGGAACAAGATTAATATATCAGGCTGAAGTGAAGGCACAGTGAACATCAAGACAATACTTCAGTTTGGTCTAGTATAGTCTCTGGGCATCATCTAGTGGTTGAAGATAGTCATTGAAGGTGAAGATGATTAATAAGATAGTTAGTAAGCTTTTCCTGTATCCATTGTTTTGACATAAAAAAAAGTGCAGCACCATCATTTATTTCACCACTTATCATTTTGTCTCTTTGTTTCACTTGTCTAACTGAAAACAGGTCTGTGACATATTGGCTGAACTGGTTGTTTGTGGATGAGGAAAGATGAAAATGTTTCACGCCAATGTGTCTGGTGTTTGCAATCTATTCTATCCAGCATCTGGTTCTCAGATTTTTTTACTGAATGTTCTGAAGAAATTCGCAGGTTTTAAAATAAATGCAACCTTCATCCCCAAAACTGACAGACTAGTCAGACAGACAGACCATCTAGTATGATTTTCAAAATCTTACATATGTTTCATGAAATTTTGTTCTGTGAAAACCTACAACAACAACCACTTCCATTTAAATAGCGTCCTCCAAGCTGGGCGATGTATCAGAGCACTTAACGATGGTGGAGCCCAAGCCAGGGAGAGCGGGAAGGTGACCGTAGGCTCGGTCGAAGGAGGAGGTGAGGCAAAGGGATTGAGGGAGGGTGTTCCAAATTTTGGGGACGTAGTGTCTGAAGGCACGCCACTGATGGTGGAGCGGAGGATTCAAGGAACACAGAGGATGACAGACCCAGTAGAGCGGAGGCACTGGTTACCGCTGTGGGGAGAGAGAAGGTTAGAGACATAAGGGGGTGCCAAGGAATGGAGGGATTTAAACACTAGAGTGAGGACCTTGAAGTCGATCCGCTCTATGACAGAACCTATTCAATACAATACAAATTTATAATAATAATGATACTTGCATTTGATATAGTGCCTTATCGTGTCTTTGAGATGGCTAAGGTAAAGAGAATTGACTGCACATTTTGTGGGTGAACCGCGGAAGCAAATTGCACACAGCAGTGGCCCACATCAGGATTGAGTGACCAAATTATTTTTTTAAATTTATTTTGAAGGAATTATTACCCACACAAAAGCATTCCGCCAATCGACTAACAACCAGGTTTCTACCTACTGATAGGCAAACAGAGGTTTGTGGAGTAAGGAAAATTGCCCAACATTTCACCGCCCTGGGATAGAACCCAGCTCCTCTTGCTTGCGAGGTGCGTGCTCTAACCACTAAACTGCAACAACAACAAAATTACATTTGTATAGCGTCTTTCACGTCGGGAGGATGCCCCAAGGTGCTCGACAGACAGAGTTTTGGGCCCGAGCTGGGGGTTGGCATTGGGGAGGGTTGGGGCGGGGGGCGGGAAGCAGGTGATTGAAAGCACAGTTGAAGAGGAGGGTCTTGAGATGGGTCTTGAAGGAGGCAATGGAGGGGGCGAGGCGGAGGGACTGCCAATGGAGGGGGCAGATTGGCAGAAGGTCCGCCCATCAATAGTGGGGCGAGCGAGACGGGGGACGTGAAGCAGGCCGGAGCCCGCTGAGCAGAGGGAGCGAGAAGGATGGTAGGGGTTTAGGAGGTCGCAGAGGTAGGGGGGAGCAAGACCATGTTGGGTGAGGACCAGGATTTTGAACTGTATCCTCTGTGTGATGGGAAGCCAGTGGAGTCGGGAGTGATAAGGTCACAGAGCCTGGTGCAGGTGAGGACACGGGCTGCAGAGTTACAGGACGCCACATAAATGCAAGTAGTTGATATTATTTATTTTTAAGACTTAGATGGTTGACAATAGTCACATCATATGTGACCAGATCAATCTGTTGTGTAAAAACACATCAGAACTTGAAAAGACTGCTGTCCCATCAAAATCCGCACCTGGATAAATAAACCTGTCGCTGGCGATCAGATTTATAACTCCACATTGTAACTTGTCCGAGATGGAATCATGATAATCCTTGCATTTGATATAGTGCCTTTCACATCAGGAAGATGCCTCAAGCCCTTCACAGGACTTTTTTTTACTGTAAAGTGTAGGTGAACTCCTGTGGGAGGATAGTGATTACCACTGGGGCTTGCAATCCCGGTGCTCTTTCGGAATCCTGAATCTCATCCAGGACTCCCAGTCATTCAGAACCAGGGGAGTAACTCAGAGAGAGCATCCCTCTGCGGGGGCGCCCGGCAGGTTTAAACACCCACCCTTCCCTTCCCCACTGATTTGTCCTTGTGATGTGCAGATGCTTTCAACTGAGCAGGAAAACCCGCACTCCCCCTACGCCCGAGCTCAGCCTTCCCATAATCCGAAATCCCAGGATTCTCTTCAATGAAACCCAGGATTTGGGGAGCACCATTACCATACGGGATCCTGGCATCAGGATTCCTGAGATTGCAAACTCCTAATTACCACCTTTTCCCTTTCCACTGCATTCATTTGTTAGAGAATAATAAAAAGCATGATCGCCAGTCCATGGAAATAAGACAAGTTACTTTTCACTGCTAAAACACTTTATCCCACACAATCTGAGGCACTTGGTATGTATGTGGGAGGATATCTCAAAGCACTTCACAGGATTTACTGTGTATTTTGTAGACAAACATGGCAGCCAATTTGTCCACAGCAATGTCTCACATCAGCCATGAAGTGAGTGACAATTTACCTGGGGGATTGTACTGCAGTAACTGCACTCCCGGTTCCGTTCTATTGACCTTTAGATTCTAACTTTTCATGTGCACATTTAAAGCCCTAGAAGCATTGGAAAAGCTCTCAAAACAATCCCTATATACAATCATCCCTAAACAACACAAATAACTTCCCCTAACTAGAATTCATGGTTTGAAAAACTACTGTTTCATTTCAGGTCTCTTGAAATGTAGGTAACTTGAAATGACAAGAAAATGGCGTTGTCGTAAGTGCTGAGCTTGGCTGTGCATGAGATGACAATAGGTAGGAATTGACATTATAAAAGGTGACGTTATCAGATTAAAACTGACCAGAAATCGATCGAAAAGAATAAAGTTAAATAAAAATAATAATCCTTGCATTTGAGATAGCCCTTTTCAAGTCTTCTGGACGTCTCAAAGCGCTTCACAGAATATACTGTTAAGTGAACTGACTGTATATTTGTGGGTGAAACACAGCAGCCAATTGCACACGGCAGTGTCCCACAAACAGTCGTGGATTGAAGTGACCAATTTTATTTTATTGTTTTTTCTGAAGGAATATTATCTGGCGTATGGAGTAAGGAAACTTGCCCATGGTTTTGCCCTGCCAGGAATCAAACCCAGGTCTCCCGCTTGTGAGGCAAGTGCTCTAACCACTGAGCTACAGGACTCCTTTGTCAGCAAAGCTACCCGAATGCTTCTCTGATGAAGCTCTGTGACAGGAAAAATGTAAGTGAGGTTGAAAGTAATTTGATAGAAATAAAAGGAAGAATCGAAGCATGATCCATTCACAAATGAATAGAATAATTAAAGTGTAAAACTGCAAGTGATACAAGTACAGAAGCAGGCATTTGACATGAAGCATTTTAGAATGGATATAACATTTAATTCTACAAAATAATCCTTGCATTTGATGTAGAATATATTGACTGTATATTTTGAGGGCAAAGTGCACTATATAGGAGGTGCATGGGATTAAAGGATTATGGCAGTTCTTATGGTGCATTAACCAATGTAACTGGAATAATCTGGTGTCTTTTTAAACAAAAAAGAGAAACTCCACATGGGTTTCATAATCAGAGAAATACATAAACCATTATATAAAATTACAGAATGTAAGGCAATGAAACAAACCATTTCTCCAAACCATTCCTAACCTCATCTCCCTATCTGCCTCCCATACCCATACCCCTCCTTTTCCTTGTTCCTCTTATATGAAGGAGGACGTAATCTTATAAAGCAAACCTGAGCATTTAACGATTTTGTTAGTCGGTTATGAAGCGCTCGTAATGGTGCAGACACAACAGACTTCCTGTACACTTTCTCCTCCCTCTTCAAAACAACCTTACTGACCCATCAGATCATTTCTATGATCCTAACACGTAGGCAAGTGCCCCAGTGTTACAGAAGAATGAGAAATCAATCGCAATATATTTATTATTAAGATTGTATAGTTATATAAAGCTGAAACAGTCTGACTTCTTTTTTATACTCCTGATGAGAGCTCTTGGCAGCTTTGTTCATAGGTACAGCTGGGTATCAGATTCAGAAATTCAACTGCTTAAAGCTTTTGCATTCTTTCAGCAAATCGGGAATGAATTCAAGCCGCCTGAGTTAATCAGCATTGGACATCAGGGTTTCTTGCTCACTTTGCCCAACTGTTACTCCAGAGTCTTTCTTGTTCAGTAAATTGTACAGTTAGCTGATGAGTACTGAGTGCACTGGAAGTTGTTTGTTAATTCGCTGTAATTTGGGACTTTGTCTAAACCACTACCTGCAAAAAGGACAGAACAGATTATTGTAAGAAAATGAGAACGAGAGGATCTCAACTCAGTAACTTGCATTTCATAACATTCTTTACGTAGGGTAACATCTTAGAGCACTTAACAGGAATGGGAATTGCACCAAGCAAGGGAGAGGGAAATAGCTATAGGCATGTTTAAAGAGCTAAGATTTGAGGCAAGAAGAAGACAGAAAGAGAGGGTGGGGGAAGATGAGATGGAGTGGTAGAGAGGGGGAATTAATCATCAAATCAACATTATGAAATGCTTTTTTAAAAAATAATTAAAATGGGTTTCACTTTTCCATTTACCTTCTATAAGGTTGTGCAGGTTACAGTAGTTTGTACCGTAGTCAAAGACAGCATACCACTTTTCAGAAACCGAGAATCCCTGCGAGAGAACATAATGATCTGAATTAGCAGCAACTGAGCAGGTGTAGAGAAATGCAAAGAAAGATAATAATGTGGCAACGCTAACTGCTTATGAATATGAGGACCCATGGAATTCTGAAAACCTAAACACAACAGCCACAAACCTGCAGAATTGCCACCCTAACTTTAAGGCAGCAGTCCTGTTTTCAAAAGTTACCAAAAAAGGAGCTTCGCAGCAAAGATGTAGATAAATTAGATTCTTCACGCAGAACCCATCTTTATCCAAAACCTGCCATCATAGACTTCACTCCATCTCCTCGGGAGAAATTCTACACATCTCTAAGGATCCACCATATCCAGAAGATATGCAATGCTGAAGAACAATGGCTATAGGATATATGAATTTTCTAACCTTAAATAATAATAATCTTTGCCTTCGATATAGTGTCTTATTACGTCTTCAAGACGTCTCAGAACACCTCACATATATATTGTAAAGTGAATTGACTGTATATTTTGTGGGCGAAACGCAGCAGCCAATTGTGCAGTTGTGGATTGAGTGACTAAATTATTGTTTTTATTTTGAAAGAATTATTAAGCCCGAAAAAGTGATCGGCCAATCGACTAACAACCAGGTTCCTGCTTACTGCTAGGTAAACAAATGCTAATGAGTCCTTTACATTTTTGAGCCACTTCAACAAGGGATAGTTGGAAACCTGAGTAGGTTCCACAGTTACTGGCAGCTTTTCCACTCTTTACACATCAACTAAGTGTTATCAACCTGCACAACTGCGGTGAGAGCATTACAATCAAGCTCCACTGTCACCCAACAGCCATCACCAGCTCCTGCTCCCCTTCCCTGAATTTCTTTATACTGAAGAAGGCGGTGATGTATTTAGTAAAACAGTGAATATCTTTTTGTTAAAAGAAGGATTATGTAGATTATTAAGCATTGTTTTGTGAGAGGGGTGGATCTGAGAGGTGTTCTGAGCTCAAAGTCCAGTGCGATTTTTCCATCAATTTCAAATATCAATGGGGATTTAGGGGCTGGTTCCTTACAGAATGGCATTATTCCATGATACTGATTGTTTAGAAAATGTCAAAACCCAGGCCTTGATCCAATCTCGTGAGTTAATAAATCACCAAGATAACCGACAAAGAAAATTGGGCAACTGAAGACATCAGTGATTATTTATGATATTCAGACAAATCATACATATATATTATGAGATGTGTACAGAAATAACATGGCAGTACTTACTGAGACGTAGCAAGAATCCCTGCCCAAGGAAGAAACGAGTCTGAACGTAATGTTGTCAACATACTTGTGCATTGGGCTGGTGTGCTCAGCCACTATGTAATGTACATTTGCTGACTTCAGCTGTGAAGGAAAAGAAAGTTGTACTGAAAGCACAACACTAGTAGATATAGCAAGTTACCCACAGAGGTGGGGGGGGGGGGGGAGAAAGACCATGTGCATCATTCATTCTTACGAACAACTGACAATATCAAAGGTTGTGGTATATTGGTATCAAAACAAGGATCTTCTTATTGGCAATTAAAGTTGCAAAATCTTCAAACACACCAAAGCAAAACCTTAGTTTTGTAAATAAATCGTCTCAACACAAGTTACTCACAGCCTAATGTTGCAATACAACAACTTGCATTTATGTAGCGCCCTTCACACGGAGCACTTACGAACGCAATACAGTGACCACCATTCATTCAAAGGAACCCTCCACGACATGGAGAAGATAGCCATGAGGCCTGAGTCCTCTTGCAGAGCCTTGGGACGTCCTCCCGACGTGAAAGGCGCTCAATAAATGGAATCTTGTTGTTGTTGTTGTTGCTAAGCACAGCTGAACGCTTCCTCCCTCTCCTCCTTTCTGTTTAGTGTAATACAGCTCCAGTGCTTCAATCAAGTGGCCAATATTCACGTGCGAGTCCAGACAGCAAACGGAAGCAGGCCATTCAAACACAGAACTTTGCAGCCAAGCCTAGTTCTGACTTGATATCCCACTTGTGTATTCCCCTAAGGTCACTGCACTACCAGGAATTCGAGGTAATCTTTCCCCCAACATAACCTGGGGCATTGAGGTCGATTGTAATTGCTAGTACTGTACGTGGCTTTCTTAGCTGACTTAAGATAGCTCAGTTTACAGATCAGGGAATCAAGCCTAGAATCCACATGGTCTGTACTCAGTGAATAAACTGGATGAGGCTGAGGGAGCTAATGTGTAGCTTCAAAAATATGTTTTCTGAACTCAAATACTTAGAAAGATTCTCCACGCAGTGACTCGTCCACAGATTGGTACTGATAGAATTGCGGACTTTCTAAGATAGGAAAAAGAGAATATTTCTTCACTTAGATTTGGCTTCCAACATTGCCAGTTGCTGAATGAACACTGAGTGGGAGAAGGAGAGGGTTTGATGGGAGCCGAGATACAAGTGAAATAATGCTTCATTCAATGGTTCAGCCTGTGAATCAAAGACAATCAGGATGATGGTGAGGCCAACCACAGATAGTAATTTAAAATAACTAAAATTGCATGAATAGGTTAATAGAAATACTCAAGCAGGCAATTTCAAAGGCTTATTCTGGAGAAAACAGGAATTGCCTTGAAATTTGTAATTGGTCATTCACTTTACAACTATTTCTTTAGTGAAGTAGAGTGCAACACATTGATCTTTGCTGATCCTGTTCTGGTAATGACTTTCTGACATCACTGTGTGCAAACTGGCGCCTGTGTTTGCCTACAAGTACACAGTCACTACACTTCTCAGTAAAATCCTGTGAAGCCCTTTGAAACATCTCGACAATATAATGAAGCTCTATATCAAATGCATGGATTATTAGCATTTGAGCCAACCTGGTACACAATAACCCTTTGAGCAGTATTTTGTTCAAAACCAAATGAGAGTGCAGCTGTTTTCAATCTTTCTCAGAATCTACTACAGTATTTCTAGTGTACCAAGTGTTCATTTTATAACATCAACATCCCACATGATGTCCTTTTCGAAATACAATTATGAGAAAAATATCCAGAATCAGAAATGGGTATTGTTTCTTGGAAATAAAAACATCTTTCAGTGCTCAAAGGGGCATTTGTCTGAACTGCTCTTCCAGATTCTATATTAATTAATCAATTAAACTAATTTGTGCATCAATCTTTCTGTCTTACTCCTCTTTTCCTGCCTTGAAAACACATTGAAGAAATCCTCCTCACCCCCCGTTTCTCCCCATAAATCCTCACCTCCCGTTTCTCCCCATTAATGTCACCCATTGTTCAGTGCTCTGAGGTTCTCCCCTCCATGAAGGGTGCTACATAAATGCAAGTTGTTATTGTTTTTAAATCCTGCGTAAAACACACACATCATCTTGGCGTCCAATTCCAATTTTGTGAAGCACTCTGAGACATTATCCTATATGAAGGAAGGGTGCTATATAAATACACGTTGTCGTACTGCCTCCAAGTATCTTCTGCCAGATCTCAACAATATTTTGAATTTGGAAATCGATGTCTCATTGTTGTTAACAGAACAATTGCTGGCACAGATTCCCTGCCACACTTGCTTATGTAGAGCGCAGCTCGATTACAGCTTACTTCTTTATAGCACAAATTTAGGTGTTTCTCTACTCAATTGCACTGTGGAGCCCATTCACAGCATATACAGATGCCAGGCTTTTCACACTAAAGTACGAGTCATCAGGACACTGCCAACATCACATTCTTGCTTTACCGCATATGCGGAAAGCAGAAGTTGAAATCAACAGTGAATGGGAGTAAGTCATCCAGTTTAGCTTCCTCTGCTAATTAAAGGCTGACTTCCAGATTACAGATTACAACCAACGTCAACTAACGTCACCTTACGTTACCCAGCATACGCAGCAAATAGGAAGCAACATTGATCCAGAAGTTTTGGTACAAGGCATACTTGGTACATATGTGCGAGGACGTTTTAAAGCACTTCACGTGATTTACACCCACAAAATACACAGCCAATCCACTTTACAGTATAACCTGTGAAGCGCTTTGAGACATCTGATCGCTGTGATTAGGCACTATATCAAATGCAAGTATGATTATGATTTACTAAAATATGTACCAATTTGTGCACAGCAATGTCCCACAATCTACATACTTTTCATACTTACAGTATACAAACATTTCTCCCCTCCATGAGCACAATTTTCTGCAGTTTTCCACTTCTTGATTTGTGTTACCAACTCCTCATACACATTTGCGCAAGAAACGCCAAAGGTCCTGTGAAGAAGAAAAAGCAGGTTGAAGAGAAAAAGTCAACACCAGAACAGGGCCAGCAAAGACCACTGTGCTGCATTCTACCTGGTCCTGACTCATTCACTGAAGAAAAAAAAGGTACAATATGAAAAAGAAGAACCATGACGCAGCCAAAAGCGGACAGCAAGCCATTCATTACCAACCGGCTCCTCCGCCCACCCTCTCATGCCTCACCCATCCTCATCTCCAATGCCAACTGCAAGGCGATGCTGGACATCCTCAAATCCAAAGTCAAGGGGATCCGCTCAACTGCCTCTGCCAAACCGTCTATACCCCCTCTCCCCATCTCCCTGTCACACCCTAGCCCCTACCCATCCCTCCATCCACACCTTCGAACCAGACCTGTCTCCCACTCCTCTCACATCACCACTATAACCCGCATGAAACCGACCACCTGCTCCCTCGACCCCATTCCTAATCCTCTCCTTACCTCCCAGCTCCACCTTCTTTCCCTTCTACTCAGACATCATAAACCTCTCCCAGTCCACTGGTACCATTCCCATCCCTTTAAAAACAGCCTTCATCACACCCATCGCTGGACACATTCCTGCTCTCAAACTACAGCTCCATCACCAACCTCCCTTTCCTCTCCAAGGTCCTGGAACAAGTTGTTGCTTCCCAGCTTCGCTCCTTCCTCTCCGGCCACTCCCTTCACGAACCCCCACCCTGGCCTTCAGCCACTCTGCCCCCACTCTCTGGAACTCCATCCTGCAGTCCCTCCGCCTCGCCCCCCTCCCTTGCCTCCTTCAAGACCCATCTCAAGACTCTCTTCAACCATGTTTTCGATCACCCTCCTGCTCCGGCCTGTTTCAAGTCCGCCCACAGCACAGAAACAGCCCCGGTCAAAGTGACCAATGACATTCTGTCCATCTGCGACCAGGGCTCCCTCTACCTCCTCGTCCTCCTTGACCTCTCTGCTGCCTTCGACACCGTCGACTATTTTACCCTCATCCTCCCTCTCTCCTCTCACCTCAACCTTCACGGCTCTGTCCTTCACTGGTTCAGATCGTACCTCTCACATCCTCTCCGCTTCATCTCCACAAACCGTTTCTCCTCTAGCCCCCACACCTTCTCATGCGGCGTTCCTCAGGAGAGGTCCTTGATCCCCTCCTCTTCAATATATATATGCTCCCTCTTGGTGACATCATCCACAGACATGGGGTCAACTTCCACATATATGCGGATGACACCCGACTCTATCTCTCTGCCTCCACCCTCGACTCCAGGACCACTGCTGTCCTGATAGAATGACTGTTAGACATCAAGTCCTGGATGAGAGCTACTTTCTACAGTTGAACGTCAACAAGACCGAGGTCCACCTGATAGGCTCCTGTCAGCGCTTCCTCACCTCAGGCGCTGACAGCATCACCATCCGTGGATGTGCACTCCACCTCACTGAGCCAGTCCGGAACCTTGGGGTCTTGTTTGACCCTCAACTATCCTTTCTACCCCACATCCGCGCCATGACCCGCTCTGCCTTCCCCCACCTCCGCAACATCGCTCGGCTCCGACACTGTCTCACACCGCAGGCTCCCGAAACCCATACACGCATTCACAACATCGAGGCTCGACTAATCAAACTCACTGCTTGGTCGGCCTCCCCGACTCCTCCCTCCGTAGACCGCAGATCATCCCGTGTCCCTCTCCCGCACCAGGCTCCGAGACCCTATCACGCCCACCCTCGCCCGATCCCACCGGCTTCCCATCACACAGAGGATACAGTTCAAGATCCTGGTCCTCACCTGCAAAGCCCTCCACAGTCTTGCTCCCCCCCCTACCTCTCCGACCCCCTAACCCCCTACCATCCTGTTCGCCCCCTCGCTCAGCGGGCTCCGGCTCCGGCGCCTGCTTCACGTCCCCCTCCTCGCTCGCCCCGTTTTCGGCGGCCGGGCCTTCCGCCACTCTGCCCCCACCCTCTGGAACTCCATCCCGCAGCCCCTCGCCTCGGCCCCCTCCCTCGCCTCGGCCCCTTCCCTCGCCATCTTCAAGACCCACCTCAAGACCCTCCTCCTCGACCGCGCTTTCCATCTCCGCTTCCCCACACCCCCCCCACACCCCACCCACGTGTCAATCACGTGAAGACCACAGCAGCAATTTGCAGCTGATAATGCTATGCCGCCCCTCACGTTAGACGCAGCGCGGGGTTGCGGACACTGCCTACCATTTCACCGAGCACTGCGCGTGCAAAGGTCCGGCAGTCGCACGTGTCAACAGGGCGAGCAGCAGCCCCAGGCCCAGGCCCAGGCCCAGCCCCAGGCTGAAGGTCGCCATGGCCGCCCGCACTGCGCCGCTCGTCTGTCTGTCCGACAGCTCTCACTCAGCTGATCGTCTGGCGAGCCGGTCACGGGGTCAGCCGCCTGTCAATCACAGTGTCTCCATGGCGATCCCGTCTCCCTCCTCCCCCTCTCTCCTCCCCCCCGCCCTGTCAATCACAGTGTCTCCATGGCGATCCCGTCTCCCACCTCCCCTCCCTCCCCCCGCCCTGTCAATCACAGTGTCTCCATGGCGATCCCGTCTCCCTCCTACCCCGCCCCGCCCTGTCAATCACAGTGTCTCCATGGCGATCCCGTCTCCCTCCTACCCCGCCCCGCCCTGTCAATCACAGTGTCTCCATGGCGATCCCGTCTCCCTCCTACCCCGCCCCGCCCTGTCAATCACAGTGTCTCCATGGCGATCCCGTCTCCCACCTCCCCTCCCTCCCCCCGCCCTGTCAATCACAGTGTCTCCATGGCGATCCGTTTCCCCCTCCCTCCCCCCAAGCCCTGTCAATCACAGTGTCTCCATGGCGATCCCGTCTCCCTCCTCCCCCTCCCTCTCCCCGCCCCCCAGCCCTGTCAATCACAGAGTCTCCATGGCGATCCCGTCTCCCCCTCCCTCCCCCCCCCCAGCCCTGTCAATCACAGAGTCTCCATGGCGATCCCGTCTCCCCCTCCCTCCCCTCAAGCCCTGTCAATCACAGTGTCTCCATGGCGATCCCGTCTCCCCCTCCCTCCCCTCAAGCCCTGTCAATCACAGAGTCTCCATGGCGATCCCGTCTCCCCCTCCCTCCCCTCAAGCCCTGTCAATCACAGAGTCTCCATGGCGATCCCCATGGGAACAGGATCCAGCAGCAGTGGCAGGTGGTGGCCCTCCCCTCCCCTCCCTCAATGGTGTAATTAAACTGCCTTGTGATTCATTATTATTTATTATTTATTATTATTATTATTATTATTCAGCAACAACAACAACAACTCGGCTTTATACAGCGCCCTTCACGCCGGACGGCGCCTCAGAGGCTTCGAAAGGGTGCGGTCCATTCAGGAGGGTGTGAATCTGTCGCCCGAACACAGTGAAATGTGTTCAGTTTGTACCTATGATCCTTGTGTTTGATAATAGCGCTTTGGGGCGTCCGCCCGACGTGAAAGGCACTCTCGCTATCAGTGCAATTTTGTTGTTGTTGTTGTATCAAAGTGCTTCACAGGAATCACTGTGAAGTGGAGTGACTGTGTATTTTGTAGGCAACGGCGGCAGCAATGTCCCACAACGGCGTAGAAATAACTTCCAAACTTTGTTTTTAATCCGACTGTAATATAGTGCCAAGAAATACTCCCCTCCAAAGAAAGTCTTTTTTTTTAGGTTTTGGATTTGCTTTTGCTACTTTGGAAAATGTTATCTTAAATCATATTATGCGTTAAAAAATGGTAAATACTTTGATAGCTACGCTTATATGAGGTCTTATTTCAGAAATGTTTCCCTAATGTGGCTTTGGGAGTATTTAATGGTATCGGGGTTAAATTTTACTTGCTCTTAAATCCTTGGGTTCTGTTCTTATGCATCTGTCCAGTAGATGGAACGACATCACTGTGCAGTAAAAGCTATCACATTCACCTGTATTCGGTTTGAGAACAGATGGTGGTGCTACAAACATAATACTCTGTGAGGTTCAACGTCATATTAAGTTTATGCCTTAATCCAGATTCAGCTGAATAGTGGTGCAATTGAATATTTATTAAATAATATATATCCTTGAATTTGATATAACATCTTACTTTTAACGTCCTTACATTAAAAAGGATAGTTCTATTTTTCAAATTAAACTATACCAAAGCAAGGGATCCCTTCCGGTCCTCTCTCGCTTCTCTCCCCTCTTTCTCTCTCAAATCTCTCAATCCTCTCTGAATTATTTACTAGGTCAGGCAACCTGTAACACTATGAGTGTCATCCTTCCAGCTACGTCCGCGGGCTGATGATGCCCAGTCTCGGCGTGCCCGTTTGGCTGCCGCCCCTGACCCGATGTTCATCTCAAAGAAGAATGAGATTCACGAAAACGTTTGGAAAGTTATTCCTAAGGATCGTTCTCCTAAATTAAATGATCTTGCACTGAAGATGGGTTCTATGTTTGCAAGCACATGCATTTGTGAAAACGCGTGTCTCTGCATTGAAAAGTCCAATCATCGCAACACGCTTGATAGAGATACCCTTGGGTGGTGTCTTCAACTTGCCACAACTGAATTTGAAGGATGGCCAAAGGCACGGTCAAAGAGGAAGGTTTTTAGATGGTATTTGAAGGAGGCACGAGTGGGGGTGAGGCAAAGGAATAGCAGGATAAAGTTCCAGAGTGTTGGGGCAGAAATGCTGAATGTCTAACCGTCAATGGTGCGGCGGGAAGTGCGGAGGGCCTGAAGCAGCCGTGGTCCACTGAGCGGAGGAAGCGGACAGGCTGATATGTGGTTAGGAGGTCGGAGAGGTAGGGGGCAAGAAGACGCGGAGGGCTTTGAAAGTGAAAACATGGGTTTTCTACTCGATTGTCTGAGCGATGGGGAGCCACTGAAGCCGGGCAAGAACAGGGTGATTGGTTCCTGGTGCGGGAGAGGACACGAGCTGCAGAGCTCTAAATAATCTGCAGCGTGTGGAGGGAAGAGTTGAGAATCCCAGTGAGCAGGCAGTTGGCGTAGTCAAGACGGGACGTGATGAAAGCGTGGATCAGGGTCTCAGCAGCCTGCGGTGAGAGGCAGTGGTGGAGGCGGCCAATATTGCAGAGGTGGGGAAAGGTGGAACGGGTCACGGCACAAATGTGGGGTTTGAAGGATAGCTGAGGGTTGAAGATATTTAATGGTCTTCTAAGTGTCAAGGAAATGTATGTAAAGTAAAATTATTTGATCGTATGCAGGTTTAGAGTTGATTGTATGAAAACTGTTTTGTATATTCTTGATATTATTTTGAATTATTGTATATTCAGTGTATCTTTGTTGTGTTATAATATCAATGGAATCCTGCATGTAGCTCAGTGGTTAGAGCGCTCGCCTCGCAAGTGAGAGGACCTGGGTTCAATTCCCGCTCGAGACAGGCCGAAACCTAAGGCAAGTTTCCTTACTCCACACACACACGCCTCTGTTTACCTAGCAGTAAGTTGGAACCTGCATGTTTGTTGATTGGTGGATCACTTTCCTGGGGTAATAATCCCTTCATAATAATAATAACAATGTGGTCACTCAATCCACAACTGTTTGTGGGACTTCATTGTGCAGAATGGGCTGCCACATTCTCCCACAAAACACATAGTCACTACACTTTGCAGTGTATCCTGTGAAGTGCTTTGAAATGTCTCGAAGGTGTGGTAAGACTTTATATCAAATGCAACAATTATTATTATTAAGCTTTGGCATTTTATCTGGTTAGACTGCACACTCTGGGGGCCCAAAGCCTTGGCTCTCGCCAAACTTTCCAGAATTAGGTAAGCAGGATGCATCTCTTCAACAACAACAAATTACATTTGTATTGCACCTTTCACATCACGAGGATGTCCCAGAGAGAGAGTGCATTCCATTCCAACAATCTATCTCTGGGATTTCTATGTGTAGGTGGGATACTGGAAATGTCAGTTTGGTTTGAATACTCTTACACATAGTGATGGATTTCCGCATGTGTAAGACACTCGGCTGACCCAAAAAAAAGGAATTGTGCAATCTTCCAAGCCGATGAAGAAAACTGAATTTAAATTCTCTAATGTTTAGTAATGGGAGATCTTGTTTGCACTTTCTTCTGCAAAATTTTACAGTTTAGTTTTAAAATGCAATGGCATCAATAACAAAATACCGTGTGCACATTAACACCATTTTAATACCATCCTGAACCACTGTTTTAAACACTGTGTACTGTCCCGCACCAGGCTCTCACCACATCACTCCCACCCTCGTCGCCTCCACTGGCTCCCCATCCCCCAGAGGATCGAATTCAAGATCCTCATCCTCACCTACAAGGCTATTCACGGCCTTGCTCCCTCCTACCTCTCCGACCTACTATCCCCCTACTTACCTGCCCGTACCCTCCGTTCCTCTGGCTCCGGTCTGCTCCACATCCCCCGCCCCAACCGCCCTACCATCGGTGGCCGGGCCTTCAGCCTCTCAGCCCCCAGGCTCTGGAACTCCATCCCCCAGTGCCTTCGCCGCCTCCTCCCTTTCCTCCTTCAAGGCCGGTCTCGAGACCTTTCTCTTCAACCGTGACTTCAGCTCCCCTCTTGACTGTCTGCCCCCTCCTCGCTCCCTCCCTTCCCTCCCCTCACCCTGACCATTTCCCCTCTGCTCGGGTCCTGACCCAACTGTCCAGCGCCTTGGGACGTCCTCCTGACGTGAAAGGCGCTCTATAAATGGAATCTTGTTGTTGTTGTTGTTGTTTGGTCTCTTTTTAAGGTCTTTACCAGCATTGCACTGCACAATATAATATTGCAGGAAATTCAGAAAGTCACCCTATTGACTGCATGTTACCAGATCAGAAAAGAGGACTTGATTTGTAGCCATGGAGACTTTATTCACACAAGTTATATTCATGTGATGCCTTTCAGTTAAAAGTAAACAAAAGTTAGAGCATGAGATTAATTAGAAATGAAGTGAATGATGCCAAGGAGGCAAATGCGACAGCTAATAAGAAGTAGAAATGAGAAATGTCTTACAAACAATTTATTAGAACTTTTGCAATGAATTTTGATAAGTAGGGAATATAAACCAACATACCACGAGGAAAACTTAACTTTTCTTTGAAATATACCTTAGTCGGGGAAGGAGGGATTCTTTTATATTCACCTGATCACAAGCTGGAAGGACCAAAATTAGTGATTGAATCAAAAAGGGATCATGATCTGGAAATGCAACAAAAGTCTTTAATATCGAATGTTTTTCATATGGGTAAAGACAGCAGTCAATCCATACGTGCAATGTTTCACAAACAATAAAGATGATTAACAATAAAAATAAATTGAATGGAATTAATTTGGGTGAATTTGGATTAAGGAGGAATATTGGCATTACAGTGACAGTTACTTTATAGGGAAAAAGTGGAAAATACAAAAATTAAAAAGGATGAAAAATGAAGAATAGGAGG